ATTGGAATCCATGTCGGAGCTTGTTCTTCCATAATTCTAATGGCTCACCTCTTCTACTTCATCTCTTCCAATGGTAGGAGGTGGTTGTGAGCAAGTTGTGCACATGCTTGCTCTACAAGCCCTCATAGCCTCTCCGTGTGTCGAAGGAGCTCCTCCGATTCCCAAAGAAAGGTTGAGTCGAAATGGTTGGCTCTTGGGAGGTCCATGCTAGAGCTTCCTTCATTGGTGCCCTGGGCAAATCGCTCCACCATGAGCTCTAATTTTCTTTGTGTCTCCAGTTGTCGAGTGGCACATGGTCTTGAGGTTTGTCCCATGAAAGCCTCCATGGCCAACTCCAACTTGGATTTCACCTCGAGTTGTGGAGGGAAACCTTCTTGATATGGGGGGGGGGGGATATTCTTGGTATCCCCATGAGCATGTTGCTCTTCTTGGAAGGGAGGTTGGTAATAGAATCCGGATACTTGACTTCCCCCTTCTTGATTGTCCCATGAAGTTCCGGGGTAACCACTCTCGAGTGTTGGTGGATACCCCCACAGTTGGACTAAATCATAAGGATCCATGATCCAATGCCTACAAACACAAAAATACTAAAAAGGAAAATCAAACACACATAAACCACCCTTCAAGACGAAGAGTGGTAAACAAAACATGAATGAAACACAAAACAAAAACAAAAAGGAAAGAAAGACAATTCTAGAGTAACACTAAAGGCTTTTTCAAAATAATGGACCGCGGTTCCCCGACAATGGCGCCAAAAACTTGACTCATTCTAACTACAACATCCCGATCGATGGTCAAGTATAACCGCAAACCGAGTGTAACATAGGGCAAGCAAGCAATAAGAATTTATTGTACCACGGGGATCTAGGCTTACCCTACTTCAGGTTTAGGGTTCTTTATCTAGCCAACCTAGGATAGTGATTAATACAACTAAACTAACTAGCCTAGACTAACCACTAATCCTAGCTATTTACAAGTTAGGCAGCTCCCTTGGTTTGAATCCTCCTAGCTCTGTCATATGATCGATGTTGAGTACCATCCTAGATCGATCGACCCACTATCCTACCGTTAGGAGAAGAACTCCCTCGGGACGGACCCAAAACGGTGAAGTGATGGATGGGTAGGAGCTCTATTCAACCTAGGGCTCCCCTATATCTTAGGAGATCAATCCAATCAACTCACTCGGGGATTACCCATATGATATGGGGTGATGATTTGTTTCCCTCCTAGGTCAAAAGCTCGATTGACTCCATTACTCTACCGTTAGGAGATGGACTCCCTCGGGAATGACCCAAAACGGCGAATCGATGAATGTGTTAGGCTCTATTCAACCTAGGGAAACCCTATACCGTAGGATATTGATGGAATCGACTCCCTCGGGGATTACCCAAACGATATAGGGTGATGAGTGACCCGAAGACGCCAATAATGGGCTCTAAGCGGATTTTCTCCCTCCTAGGTCAAAAGCTCAATACATGAAAATGGAAACCCAACTCATGTCATTCATGAAAACATCCATCAATTAAGTAAAATCATCAATCAAACATGGAATGTGTCACATACATCAACATTAAACCCAAATCTAGACCTAGGGTTCTTAAACCAAGAGAATAGGGTGAGTTTCTAGAGAGAGAAGAGAGAAATTACAAATTGGAGCCCAAGATCTTCTTCTTCTTTTTCTTCTTCTAGTCTTGAATCCTTGTCTTCAAGATCAACCCAAGCCTCCAATTAAGTTCCAAGATCACTCAAGCACTCTCTCTGTCTCTCGCTAGAACTCCCTTGTGGTGTTTTGGGTTGAAACCCTAGAGAGAGAATCGAATCCCTCTCCAAAAACTAGCTCCCCCCCTCTTCCTTCAGCTCAAAGCTCTTTTTATACCCAGATCGGGCTTAGTTCACAGCCGCGTTGATCAGTTCTCGGTCTTAGACAGTGAACTGACGACTTCACGTTCTGGGCTTCCAGTTCAAGGTTTTAGAGACCATGAACTAACTTGATGCTAGTAACTTCCAAAATCGTTCTTGAAATTGGTCACTTCACGGTCTAGGCATTCAGTTCACGGTGAAGCTCCAGTCCGTGAACAGGGCTCAGCCTCCACTTTTTGGCTCGTTTTGATCTCCGAATGACCCGAAACTCGTCCCGGACCTTCCCACACGTGCCAGGACCTGAAATGTACTAAAACAAGCAGAACCTAGCGTAAAATAGGTAGAGGGACGGTGATCAACTAAGCATAACAAACAAGAAATGAGGGGTAAAATGTGTACCCTCGGACCCGAATCAAGTTTCCTAGTGGATTTAGCCCATTAATAAATTATGAATTTTTATGACTAATTTCAGACTTTTAAATATACTGTTAGTTCAAAATAGTGTAGATAGACACCCTATACGCAATGATATCATAAATTACCGATAACCATATTAACTAACTATGCTCGTTAATAGGGCTGGATTTTCGGTTATTTCGGTTATAACCGATAACCGAAAGGTCGGTTACCGATTAACCGCGAAGCTCGACACCCCTACCGCCAACCGCCCGACCGATCCCGTCGGTTATCCGACAACCGATCTGTCGATTACCGGTTAGTTGCTCGGTTAACCGGGATAACCGAGCAAGGGAGGGCGCCGCTGTTCGTGGAGGGAGATGGCGCCACTGTTCGGGGAGGGATATGGCGGTGCAGGCTTGCATAGGGGCACTGTTCGCCGGAAAGGAAGGGCACCGGCGGAGCTCTCTACGGGGGCGAGGTCGCACAGGCCACAGAGAGTGAGCGTCGAGCATAGGAGCCCGAGGCGAGGTCACGGCGGCGGAGCGAAGGCGCTAGCTGGTGGCAAATTCGCGGCGGAGGAGCAATGGGCTGGCAGCGGCGAGCCGGCGACGTCTGTACCTATCTTTCGTCGTCGTCGCGGCACTACGCAGAGCGGCAGATGAGAGGATTGAACGAAGGTCGAAGGAGAAGTCGCGAAGAAGCAGGGGGAGGGGGTCGAGTCAATTACGGATTTAGGGTTAAGACTCTTCAGGGGAGGCGTCATTTTGGGGGGTAAAAAGGGGGGGTTGTGTTTCGGTTAGCCGGTTAACAGACGGTAATTATCGTCGGTTACTCGATCAACCGACGTAGGAATTGGCCATCCGATAACCGCCCGACGCGTTTTATTTTCGGTTATCGGTTAACTGGTTAACCATCGGTTATCAGTTTAACCGGTGGTTAACCGGCAATCGATAACCGAATCTCCAGCCCTACTCGTTAAATGGGTAATCAACTAATCATATCATACACACATAAATTCAGTGGCGTAGCCAGGATTTTGAGTAAGGGGGTGCCAACTTAAAAAATTAAAATGACTATCAATTTTTTATAGTGACCCATGACGGGTTCTCATAGCTTAAAAAGTCTGTAAAATATATTCATCATCCAGACTATCAAGAATGTCACTCTTAATGTATCCTACCAAAAAATCATTCATGATATCATCACTCAATTCGATTCCGAAGAGTGTTCTTCACGTAGTTTATTGCCGAAAATACTCTTTCAACACTTGGAGTGGCTATTCACAGTAGCAATGCTAACTTCACAAGAAGATACACAGATGGAAATCCTAGATGCCGCTTTGTAGAAACCATTTTACTAGAAAGCTCAACAATCCCCTTTACTCCAGTGAACCTCTTATCTCTCTTCATCTCATAGATATAACTGTTTCTATTACTGCTTGAATAAGGATACAATTATGAGTTTTTAATTTAATTTATTATTTGTACACGGCAAGGTTGTCAACCCGGTCGAGCTAGTGGGTTAAGGGTTAACGGGTCACCCGTTTTAGCCCGGAAATATGAAAATAGTCATTATGTTGTACTTATCCTGATAAATTATATCAAATCTCATCTAACATATGAGTAGTAACATATAACATTACACTAAAGTAACATGTCGTACTTAGATCCAACATATAGTGAAAATTCACACACACTTATATAACATTAATATTCAAATGTTCAACTAAGGATTCCAAAGATTTAGTTAGGCGAAAAGAAAATTCGAAAAATAGGCGCATTTCGGAAACCAAAGAAAAAATGACACAATTTGACCTCCAACCCGATACCTTGTAGAGGTCGGCCCGGCGGGTTCGTGCGGCCCGTTTTTCTCAAAAGGTCAGGGTCAAAGTGGGTCGACCCCCGGGTTGACAACCTTGGTACACGGTAAATTAATTATATAATATACAATAAAATGTATTAGTGTATCACGTAAGTAATTATGGTTTAATGGAAGATACCAAAAGCTAATAATAAGGGGGTTCATGTTCAAATCCAAAATATTATATAAATTAATACCTCTATTTTTTATGTTTTTGTACCAATCCAAATGCGTGCCATGGAACACCCTAACTACTAGCTACCTCCGCCCCTGCACATAATTTATATTCTCTGAAAGTTTACAAGCGTAGAAATTAATTGAAATAAAATTATATGGATAATTTTACAAATTGGATAACTAAAAACTAAAAAGGACAATTGTTTGAACTAATTCATATTTTGGTAAAAAGAATATCTCTGGATATTATTCCCTTAAACACGAAGAAATCTTTATGGCAACATTCCTAAAAAATAAATTATGGTAAAAAAAATTTGAGATGAAGAAAATATTCATGAACTTGATAGACCCAAATTGAAATAATTCATATTTTGGTAAAAAGAATATCTCAATATATCATTCTCTTAAATATGAAAATTTTATGGCAACGTTCATGAAAAAAATTATGGCAACAAAATTTGAAATGAAGAAAATATTCACGAACTTGATAGAACCACAAATAATTATCTCTGCTCATTACCCAAATAAATAATTTACATGATTTCTTACCATCAATATAGAACTTATCATTTTAAACCACCCACCTCCAACTAATATAAATTGACGTATGGCACCATGACTAATTCATCAATAACCCACAAAACTAATCGTAGAGAAAAGAAAATTAGGACTAGGAAGACAGAGAAATAGTTATATCCACAGACATGGAGAAGACAACAGCCAAGTTTGCTTTCCTTGTTCTTCTCTTGGTTTTTGCAGTTGGTAATTATCATACTGTTCTCTTCTTATGTTGATTTTTTTTTGCAGTTGGAATATAAGCATCTCAGAAAGGTCTTCTTTGGTTTTTGCAGGTGGGGAGAAGAACAGAGTGGAAGGTGCAAATGAGGATACTTTGCCGTGCAAGAGCTTCTGCGTACCACCAAATTGCCATTGTTCTGAGGGATCTTGCTTCTGTAATGGAGTACAGCACTCGTTGGTGGCTGGCCACTTGATCCCAACTCCTCTAGAGAATGAAAAAAGAATTTAGATACGCCGTGCCGTGGTGTGATCCTACTCCTACATGTGTAACCTACGTAATTCGTTGTTTTCACCGTGGAGAAGAAAGAGTTATTAATAAAAAGTCGACTATTCATAGATAATATTATTGAACGAAGGAATAACTATTTAGCTGTTTCGACCATCATTTTTCCAATCACGTAGGCATATCATCATTCACATTCCAAATTTTTTGTTATTGTTTATGGTGAATGTCAAGAAAAAATATAACATGCGAAATAATGTAGGAATAACAACAAAGGTCATACTAGGAGCACTTCTATTATGCTATAAAGTATTGGTGTTTTAATGTACAACTTGAAGTTATACTATATCGTTAACTGAATCGCTATTCGTTGCCCTAAAATTTAAACTAGCTTTGGGTCCGGCCCATTGGCCGGTGAAGTATAGAACCGCGACTTGTATTGTGTCTCAATTGCACAGATAATTGTGCTTTCTTATCAATGTGTTGTATAGTTGTGAAACCAATAAGGAATCGTATGGAGAATTGGAGTCTAAATCTATAGATTCTAGACAATCAAAGATTTTAACTCTCTGAATTGTTGAATTTTTTTTGTAAATGTTCATTGTTTGGTAATTACGATTTTTAATATCCAATGAAAAAAGAACGTATATTTTTTTATTAAATGAGAATTTATTTTTAGATTGGCTCGAAAAATATTGAGAATTTATTGATAGGGGTATTTAGTGGGATAGATGGGGAAAAAAATATATGGGAGGGAGAAAATATACAAAATCAATATGTAGAATCTCTCTAATTATAAAAGATTTGATATCTTTACATTTTAGAGATTTATAATCTCTGAAACTATAATCCACTATACAAAAAGTAGAAGAAAAAAAAAACATATAACATTTTGCTAAATCTATGGATTCAATAAATTCATAATTCAAATCTTGTTCCTCAAATGACCCCTAAATAGCTCTTCAAAAGTAGAATCATCAGTTTTAGCATAGATTTTCAGGTACTTGGGTATTTAGCCAATCCAAGCACCAAACATTCAAGTCCGTCATTGTGTCTATGTGCCAACCATAAGCAGAGGGAGGACTGAATATTGGGGAATGTTCGCCCAAATATTGGGGTACAATTGTCTTCATTCATATCCCAGAGTTGAATATTGAATGGAGCAGTCACCATGTCATCAAATGTGCCAACAGTAGGGGTGGGCATCCGGTTCGGTAAACCCGAATCGAAATCGAACTCAACCGAACCGAAATCGAAATTATGTTGTTCGGTTCGAAATTCGGAAAAGAAATATAGATAGTTCGGAAATCAGGATTCTTTCAACCGAACCGAGATTTCGAACTTCCGACCGAAAAACCGAAATATATATACATACGCAAAACTCATCCCTGTTTCTATTCCCCAATTCCACAAGCCCAAATGAAACCCCCCTAACTCCCTAGCCCAAATGAAACATATCTCACTAAAGCCCAACAAAACCCTAACACACTAAGCCCAAATACAACCCTCCTCTCCCCTCTACCTCTCCCCTACCTCTCGACTCTCACATTTCTCTGAACCGCTGCCACCATCCAAGAGCCAACCATCCTCCAACAAAAACACCCTTCTCATCTCCCATCTCCCGCCGTCAACCTCCGACACCACAACCTCCGACCTACCTCCCCTTCAATCCCATCGCGCCGCCAAATTCGATTCACCACCTCTCGCTCCCATCAAATCCAGCGGTGGACTGTGCGGTGGAGGAACTACTGTCGATCCCATCAATCCAAAAATCTTGAAGCTTTCTTTTTCCTCCCGGATCAAAACAGAGATGAAGCTACTGAAGCTAGAGGGAGAAAATCAAGCTAAAATCACCATGCATGCTTGGATCTAAACTCCTACTAACCTCTAACAGTCCTCGCCGCCGCCGCCGCCGGGTTGTTATTCCGTCAATCTCCATTGCCGCCAGCACCTGCGTTGTTCTCTCTGTTAATCATCGTTACCGCCGAGTCCAGCAACGGGAGTAGCAATCGTGAACTTTGGTCACAAGTCATGAACTTGCCCTCCCTCTTCGAAGTTTACAGCATAATGTCAAAGATTCCTTTCGTGAACTTTTGTCACAAGTCATGAACTCGCCCTTCCCATATGAAGTTCACTACCTCTTGTCTAAGTTAATTACAAGGAGATGATTTTGGACAAGCGATTACATTTTAGAGTCGATAGCTCGACGTCCACCGCGGCGGCTTTCTGTTTAAGAGTCGACAGCTCGACGTCCAGCGGGATCGGCGGCGGTGCATTCATGCTCATCCAAATGGCCTTCGGCGAAGCCCAGGCCTTCGACATGGGGGAGGTTGTTCCAATTAAAGCTTCCAATTAAGGCTCAAGAATCTGCTTTGATTTTGCAAACAATGGGATTAAAGTTATTTTTTAATTATTATGATAAAGAGGTGGAATTTTTAATAGATTAAATTTTAGGGTATGCCTACTATGACATGCATGTCACGGTGACATGAACTTTTCGGTCGACCTATTCCTGAAGGCGGTCGACCGAATTGACTAATTTGGGCAGCACGAGAAAGCACTGCGGTCGACCTCAACGACCACCTGGTCGACCGCACTTAGTTTAAGTTGTTATTTCTGGTCGACCAGAATAAAACCTCAGGTCGGCCATTTCGTTGGCGTCAGAAACAACATAGTCGACCACCTAAGGTATATAGGTCGACCACTTGATGGCAGTCATTAACAAGATGGTCGACCGGATAAGGAAAGAGGTCGACCAGATAGAAGATAAGTGTTCTATCAAAGTGTCCAATCATTTGACGTAAAATGAAGATCAAATGTTGGTTTCGCGGTCGACCTAATCCGGTACGAGGTCGACCGAATACAAGAAAGTCAACCTATGCCCCGTGTCTTTTTTGCTTATGTATGTCGATTTGTGTGGTTCTTTTGATAGTATAAATTATGTTTCAAACCATCATAATTAGTCATAAATAATGATAACAAGGACTCATCAATTCATAGCATAACAACTAAAAATAAAACAGAAATCATAATTGTTCACACATAAAAATAAAACTAAAAAAACAACAGAATAACAATCAACAATCGTTTTGACCACTAAAACACACAATCTAAAATCTCCTCTCTCCTACTCATCTCCCCCCTCTCCCTCATCCACATTTTCTTCATTGGTGGTGCTAGCATGATGGTGGTCGGATGTGGTGGGATGCATGTATCTTCCGCTGAAAGATCGCCACTCATCTCGCATCTCATTCACGGTCACCTGCATTGTGCTCATCTGGGTGGTCATTTGCCCCATGTAGTCGTACATGCCATTCATCTGGGTGGACATCTGGCCCATGTACTCGTACATGCCATCCATGCGCTCCCACACACGCTCTAAGGTGATCGCTGGAGTTGAACTCTGTGCCTCCGCCATTGGCTCGTCTCCGGCTCCTTCATCACCATCATCATCCTCATCATCATCATCATCACCACCATGGGCACCATGAGCATTGATTCGGACATACTCACCATTACGCAGCTCAAAGCCCATCTTTTTCATAGATGAAACAGTATAGAACTCCTGCCTTGTGATTCTTAACCCCACCTCTTCACTTAAATTCACATTAAAATGCTCAAATAGCACATTGAGGATCATCCCATAGGGAAGATTCCTGTTTGAACTCTCTACAGCAGTAAGCATGTGGTTAAAGATCAAGTATGGCAAGTTCACCTTCTCGTTTAACAGTAGGTTGGCGAGGAGCTCCATGTCGAAGTAGGTGACTGTCTCCCGATGTCCACCCTTTGGCAGAGTGTTGTAGGAAAGCATGTGGTGAAGAACTCTGGCTTGAACTGTCAGGTGGTTACTCGTTGGCCTATTGCGCCCCTGAGCATCTTCCTCTTCATCAAGACCACATACCGTCTGGATTTGCTTGGCTCTCGTGAAATGCGTTTCATTCCAAGCACCGTAAGAATGGATTCTCTTCCCCTCGTTTGGAGCCTCCAGTACTTGCGCCAACACATTCTTGCTGATGCGCATCGCCACCCCATTCACATAGGATTTGAATGCGTGAATGGATCCATTTGCATTGCGCTCGTAGACGATGTTGTTGTAGAAGTACTGTACCAGTTTTGGGTAGTATGGTACATTGAGAGATATCACCTTCAGCCACTCCTGCTCGATGAAGGGTCCTAGAAACCCGTAATTCTCGAAATGAGAATACGCATCCGTCGTCAATGGCCTTCCCGGAGCCACCCTGCGGTTGTGCATTCTCTTCTCTTCATAGTTCTCACTTTGCTCCTTGGTCTGGAACAGATTGGGATTGAACTCTTCCCATTCCGAACTTGAGGCAGCAGCTTTTTGTGCCTTTCTTTTCTTTTTGCCACCAAACATCCTGCGATCAGACAAGCAAGAATACACGTTAGTCACATTTTTGAAATGAACAATACGCGGTCGAACACTCCATAAAGCGGTCGACCTCAGTTAATTTAAAATGAGAATGGGTCGACCTCAGAAGAATCATAGGTCGACCTCAGTTAATTTAAAACGAGAATGGGTCGACCTCAGAAGGAGCATAGGTCGACCTCAGTTAATTTAAAACGAGAATGGGTCGACATAAACCCGTAACAATTCAAGTACAAGATTGCTTTCATAGGTCGACTTCAGAAAAAACATAGGTCGACCTCGGAAAATTTAAATCGATTGAAAACCAGATGTGACTTTCAGCAGGAGTGCAATTCAGGACATTAGACCACATTGGAATGCACTCGAAGACACAAACATCTGCTGCCTTCACCGAGTTCTCATTTGCAACCCTATGTCGGTCACCGACAAGCAAACAACAACAATATAACAAAGAAGACCCTAAAACCTAAACTCTCTTACATCCATAAGAACGGGACATGCGGGGCGGTGCCATTCTTATGGACATAGGTCGACCGCCCCGCATGTCCCGTTCTTATGGATGTAAGAGAGTTTAGGATTTAGTGTCTTCTTTGTTATATTGTTGTTGTTTGCTTGCCGG